CAGCCTCAGGCGGAGGCTGCCCTGGCTGATGGCTGTGCCACCCCAGGGCAGGGGCTTCCCAGGGCAAAGGCCCCTCCATGCAGCAGGCACGGGCCTAGCCAGCCCGCAGGCCCCAGGCCCCACCTGCCACCCGGCAACTTCCGTTCCTGCCACTCACCTCCATGTGTCCGAACGTCTGCACCAAGGGCACCACCTCCAGCTGGTTCAGGCTGGCCAGGCGCAGGATCTCTTTGACCTCAGAGGGGCTGGAGAGAGGGTCACGCCAGCATGGTCAGCGGCTACTCCACACGCCCCCAGCCCTTCCTGTCAGACCCTAGAGGGCCCTCCTGGAAAACCGTGAGGCTGCTAACTCCAAAAAGCTCGACAGCGATCTCAAGGTTTCGGAGAAGGCACCCACTCTGGAATCTGGGGAAACGATGCTCCTACATCCTCAAGTAAGAGTTCGCTTTTCATCAGCTGCTCTTAACCGAACTCCACGGGAGGAAGAGGTCATCCCTGCACCTTGCAAGACACGGGGCCGGGCGAGGAGCCCACTCCAGGGCAGGAGCTGCCCCTGGCCGAAGGCAAACCCCCCGTCACCTGTTTCTGTACAGCCCTCGACTGGGGGAGGGTCCCTGTAGGCCAGCGTCCCCCTGCGTGAGGGGCACGTCCTGGGAAGGGCGCACTGCCCTGTGTCGACCTTTTCACTTTTCACAAGCTACGTCGCGAGCCGTCATTTATGAATTTATCTAAAAAAAGGAAGCTATTTCTTGTTTTTATATGTGTTTGAACCATTTCTTAAGGCTAATCAGTTCTATAAATTTATTAATTAGATAAAGTTGTCTGTATTCTAAATATACCTGCTTTTTCTCCTTCTCATGAACACACAACATTAGGATTTCTTAAAAAGCCTCTCTGACCTCTACCCGAGGATGCTAGATGAAGTTACCCGAGGACGGCTGAAGGAGCTAAAACAGCAGTGTGGCGCCACTGCAGCTACCAAATTGGGATGTCGCCGCACTGCTGTTTTAACTTCTTCAATTATACGAGGTTCAATGTTTTCTGCTATGTTTATTGGCCATTTTTATTTCTTCCTTTGAGATCTGCCCACTTTTCCTTTGGGACATCCATACTGATCTACACAGAGACCTGTAATTTTAAGCTGAGCAGGTGCCTGCCATCTCCACCACGTCCGACTTCACTGACTTTGCTCCTCTCCCATCAACCCGAGACCCAGCTGTGGCCTCGGGCGGCAGCCGCCTCCTCGCACGGTGCCGTGAGAGACCGAGGCAGGAACTGCATCTGCTGCTACTTCTTTTCAAGTTCCTCAATTCTCTCAGTGAGTGTGTTTTATTTTTACAACATGTTTTAATTTTATCACTAAAGAGACGGATTTAAAAAGATAGGAAAGGAATGCAGGCCCCGCGGTTAAGTTCCTGACCCCCCCGCCCACCTCCAGCGAGCAGTCACCTGTAGCAGTACCGGGCCCGCAGCAGCCTCAGGGGGCCCTCGTAGGGAAACATGTCTTCGTACTCGATGAGCAGGCCGTTGGCACCTAGAGCTCGGAACAGAGGAAAAACCTGGGGAAGGAGGGATGGTTTGAACACAAATTGACACGAAAGCAGAAGCTTGTGGGGACTGAAGGGAGCTGGTATCCATGTTTCCCTGGGACCCTCAATCTGGAAAATGTGCACCTTGTGCGGCGCCAAATCAGACTCTCCGACCCAGCAACACGTCTGCTTTGCCGGGAGGGGAAGAGGCCACACGACAGAGCGGCTATGATGGCAGTTCCATTGGGTGGCCTACCTGCAGGGTGCAGGCCAGGGGCTCACGGTGGGACCCCACAAAGCAACTCCTCATGCACACCGGATGCAACCCAGCACCGCCAAGCTAGCGGGCACTCCCATGGCACAGGGACCCAGGAAGGAAGAACACGGTCGGAGGGGCTGGGCCAGCTCCGCTCGCCTGTTGCTAGGCTGGGCCAGTCTCCAAATGCCAGTCGTTGATGTGTTTCCTATGGCTTGCAACGTTCTTTTGTTGATGCTACTGTCAGGTTGTTTTTCTCCCTAAACAGGAAAGTTCTGGAGCATGCTGAATGGGAGGAGGACGTCAGTTTGGGATTAAAACTTAGCTGTAGATCATTCATGAAATGGGTAATCAATAACTGACCGCGAGGCCGGGCGCGGTGGCTCACGCCTGTAATCCTAGCTCTCTGGGAGGCTGAGGCAGGCGGATTGTTTGAGCTCAGGAGTTCAAAACCAGCCTGAGCAAGAGCAAGACCCCGTCTCTACTAAAAATAGAAAGAAATTAGCTGGACAACTAAAAATATATAGAAAAAATTAGCCAGGCATGGTGGCGCATGCCTGTAGTCCCAGCTACTCGGGAGGCTGAGGCAGGAGGATCGCTTGAGCCCAGGAGTGTGAGGTTGCTGTGAGCTAGGATGACGCCACGGCACTCTAGCCCCGGGCAACACAGTGAGACTCTGTCTCAAAAAAAAAAAAAAAAGAGCAGGACCACCCGGCCAGCCCACAGAAACAGAAACACGGGGTAATGAATTGTCTCGAGCCTCTGAGTTTGGAGCGACATGTCATGCAGCCACAGGTAACGGAACAGGGACTCCAGTTACATGTTGGCTGGGGCTGCTTTGCCTACATCCTGTCCCTGACAATTTGTCACGATGCTTTTCTATCTCTTCACGTTTGATTTTTTTCTTCTCTGTCGTTTATTTCCAGATACCGTACTTTCCATGGTGTGTATTCACTCTTGTGCTTCTTCTATTAATAGTTCAGTATTCATTTCTAAAAAAATTGTTCTTTATGATTCATTCCTGACCTCCGCAGGCAATCCTTCCCCAGTCTCCTCCTGTCCTGTCCTATTTCCAGGCTTTTCTATTTCCTATTTATGCTGTTTTTTCATAGCTTCTGTTGTTTTCTTAATAGTTTTTATCTCATTTTGAAGTATCATGCTCTGACGTCGCCTGCTCTGTGGTGCGATGCTAGTCAGACCGTTATCCTCCGTCCCTCACGTGTCTTTCTTTGTGTGGCATGTAGCAACTCTCCTTTTCTGGTGCTCATTTTCAAGAACAAGCTCCTGTGTTCAGGATGGAGATGGGCCGGCCCCAGGGCCCCTCCTCTCCTGCTTCCATAAGGAATTAGAAATTACAGGCCCTGTGCATCTGCTTTTGTATCTTAGACTTTCTGGTCTCTGCTTCCTCTGCCTCCCCTTTCTCCCAGTATCTGAACGTTCTCTCTCTCCTGTCTTTGGTGTTCTTGCCAAGTTCAACGTGGATTCTTTTCCCAGCATTTTGTCCCGGTGTGGGGCTCTGTCCTTCTGGGAGGAAGTTCCGTTAGGTATTGCTGAGAGCCTGTGGCCTTGGGGCTCCCTCGCACCATCTTTGAGTCTTTTTGTACTCACCTTCCAACCAGAGCCAGCAAAGCTTTCTGCAGTTTCTCACTGTGGGTGACCTCTCCTGCTGGGGCTATTTTCTGGGTGCCCTGGTCACCGCACTGCCGGAACTCCCCTCTCTCCTCTACCACCCTTGCTTGGCTGCTAACCCCACATGGGTGTGCGCTGTCCGCGGTTTGGCCCCATCTGCTTGTATTTTGGAGTCCAAGGGGGTACCCTGACCCCTAGTTTTGTTGAAGAGCGTTGTAGTTTTCTAGGGCTGCCGTAAGAAGTGACCGCAAACTGGGTGGCTTGAAACAACAGAAATTTACTCTTTCACAGTTCTGGAGGCCAGAAGCCCCAAACCCAGGCGTTGGCAGGGCTGTGCGCTCCGAAGGCTCTAGAGGAGGGTCCTTCCTTGCCTCTTTCTATTAACACCTTCTGGTGCTGCCAGCCTTTCTTGGCCTGTGAACGCGTCATCCCGTCTCTGCTTCCCTCATCACACGGTGTCCCCCTGGGTGTCTGCACACTGATGTCCCTCCGTGTAGGTCTCTGTGTCTAAACCTCCCTCTCCTTGTAAGGGCACCAGCCATTGCATTAGGCCTCATGCTACTCCAGTATAACCTCACCTTATCTTGACCACATCTGCAAAGACCCTATTTCCAAATAAGGTCACATTCACAGGTGCCAAGGGTTAGGGTTTAAACATATCTTTTTGGGGGGACGCCAACCAACCCACAGCAAAGAAGCTGTGCATTTCTTTTGTCATTTCTTTGTTTCCTTGCTCTGTTTTAGTGAGAGGATATGGGCAAAATTCAAAACCGACGCTGCTACCACCATCTTGCCCCCACCGAGAGCCTCACGGTTGTGTTCTAAGCACCCTTCCCCACAGAACACTGCTCACAACTTTAAAGACTAAACCCAAGGCAAAAGAGATCCTCTAGAGGTACAAGGGAGCCCTCACCTTTGAGAGGTACGAGACCTTTGGTGGCGCTCCTTTCAGGTCCAGATGAACCAATCTCATCTCGAATGGCGTGGAATCTGACATTTCAATGTTTTTTGTGAATTCCTACAGCAAAATCTCTTGTCTGGGCTCTTCTTCCTGGTGGAGAAAACCCAAGTCACAAACAGGGCAGAAGCTTCTCCAGCACTTCCCCTGACGCTTTCAGTTTTTAGTTCTGTGTGTATTAAAATAGAAGTATCTGGATGACAATGCGGTTGGTTTCGAAATAGTAAAATTTATTTTCTTTTCCATCTATTATAAATGCACAAAAGGATAAGACGGGAAAAGGAAAGAAAATCTGTGCATGTTAACCATATATCCAGTTCAATAATTCGTTCAACCTGCTCCTTTTGCGCAAAGATACATAAATTCTTGACCTTAAGGAATCCGTGACGCAGTAGAGACGAAGTCGATGCACACAGAAACCATTCGTTTTGATTTAAAGTATACGTATATACAATTTTTACTAACAATCTCAATGCCAAGATTCTCAAGGCAGTTACCAAATGATTGATACCAACTGCAGGAAGGACAAGCTTTGTGGAAAAGCACTGAGAAAGTGCGATGGTTTTAAATCTTAACTGCTTGAGAGTCTTACGAACCAAATCTGTTTTCCAAAGAACAGATTTACAGGAAGTTTTGGAGCTGAGAAGTCTGCCCCGGCTAAACGTCTAGAGGAAAGCCCTGGTGGCCCCACGCACGGGGCGGGAGCGGCGGGGAGGCCTCACCTGCGCCGGGAGCCCCCGCGTCAGCGGGTCCAGGCGCTGCACTCGGACCCGAGGGAGGCGACGGGTGCGGGAGGTGCGGGAGCGGGTCCGACAGGTGAGTGTGGGGCAGGTGCGGGTGCGGCGGGAGCGGGCTCCGTGACTCAGGCCAAGCCGCCGGGAGGGCCCTCGGGGACGGGGGCGCGGGCCGGCCGCAGGCCCCGCCCCGGAGAGAGCCCGGGCCGAGCTCAGGTGAGCCGCGCACCTGGCGGCCCCACGCCGGGCTCCGTCCCGAGGAGGCCCCGCCCGCCCCGCTCGGCCACCGATTGCTCGGGCCTGGCCGCCAGCCCCGGCGCCGATGGCCGAGCGCGTCGCTGCGGCGCCCCTGCGCAGCACCTCCCTCGCGCTCTCGGTCGCGGCGCTCGTCCACCGGCCTGGCGGCTCCCGCGTCCCGCCCGGCTCCGCGGCGGCCTGACCCGATGGCGCCTCAGCGGAGGGGCGCAACCAAGGCGCCCGGGGGCAGCGGGGCGGTCGAGCGCCGGCGCCCGATCAGGTAGCGGAGAGCGCTGAGGGGTTCGGGCTGCGCCTCAGCGGAGGGGCGCAACCAAGGCGCCCGGGGGCAGCGGGGCAGTCGAGCGCCGGCGCCCGATCAGGTAGCGGAGAGCGCTGAGGAGTTCGCGCTGCGGCGGCGGGCGGGGCGGGGCCAGGCAGGGGCGGGGCGGGGCCAAGCAAGGGAGGGGCGGGGCCAGGCAGGAAAGGGGCAGGGCCGTGGTGGGGCCCGACGGAGCCGGGCCGTGCAATGCGAGGGGCTTCAGGAGCGGGGGGCCGTGGTGTAGGCGGAGACTGAGAGAAGGGCCGCGTGCTGGGCGGGGCCATGCAGGCGTGGGCGGGGCTTGTCGGGTAGGGCGTGGCCTGCGGCCCCTGTTTCGGCGCGGAGTTGGCCTGGCCCAGGCCGAGTGTAGACAGCACACATCTCAAACGCTCACCTGGGCTCCGGACAGGTGCGAGGAAGAGAGGGGCTTCTGGTGCACCCTGCTGCGCCGCTGCAGCATCCAGGGGGCACTGACCTAAACTGAACAGCCCCCAGCAGCCTGCACGTTCTGTGCTGGGGCCCGGAACGTTCATTCGCCTTCACTGTTTTCTTTTTTTTGAGATAAAGTTAGGGTTAGGGTTAGGGTTCAGAGATGACTGCAGCCTCAAACTCCTGGCCTCGAGCATCCTCCTGCCTCAGCCTCCCGCAGATGGGGGCCAGCAAGCCTGGCTGATACCCACCCCCACGTTTAAACTACAAGGCCTGCTTTCCCTAGATTGTGCGGGTTCTAGAGGGCTATGGACGAATGGCTTCTTTTAGAATTTTTAAATCTTACCAGAGATGGTTGGTCATGCAAAAAATCTGTTTCCTTTTTATTTTGCTCTTTTGGGGACTGCCTAATTCCATTCTACTGACAAGTTACATACTGAGAAACCATCAGTTAAAAAAATATCAAGAAGGTATCTTAGGCTTGGAAAGGCTACGATAACTTTAAAAAATGTTTTTAGAGACAGGGTCTCACCTTGTTACCCAGGCTGCTCTTAAACTCCAGGGCACAAGTGATCCTCCTGCCTGGGCCTCCTGAGTAGCTGGGACTACAGGTGTGAGCCACTGCGACCAGCCTAAAGGGGTCTTTATTCAAGTTTTGGAAACGTGTGTCCGGAAGCCCCTCTGCTCTCTCTGCCTAGTGCCTTCCTGTCACGCAGACTCGTGTTATTTCACAGAAAAGAGTGAGGCTCGGATAGGACAGCTGAGCTCTGAACACAGCTCACCGACCCTACCCTGGAGACAGCCTTCCTCCCACCGCCTGCTCTTCAGGGGCCACCCTGGGTCGAGGCCTCCGTCACTACCAGCCTGGCCTAAAGTTGCCCCCCCAGGACGCCTGGGCCCCCCATCCTTCCCATTGTGCTAAGCAAACTCTTTTTAAAAATCCTCTTTTGTGGTAAAACATCTAATACTAAAATGACCTTTATAAAGAGCATGTCTGGTCTTTTTTCTTTTTTCCCCCCACCCTAAAGCCCACGAGTGGGTGCGTTGCAGGGTTTCTCAAACCTGGTCGATCAAGACGCAGTCTGTGTGTATTGGAAACAGCTGAGGTGGAATTGGGTGGGACACGTCCGTGCATCCTGCGGGGACAGGGCCGTCCCCTGGCGGGAGGCCCTCGTTTCAGGGATTACATGGGAGTGAGGCTGCATCGCAGTGTGCCCTGCGTTTTCATGGTTGGGGGGCGCCAAGCCCCTCATTGGGACACTGGGCCCCCTTTGGGATGAGCCCCTGCCCGCGCCCCTGGAGACGCCCTGCTTCCAGCAGTGCTGAGCCGTTCCCATCTCCACACCTCCGCAGTGGTCCCCCTCTGCCGGGAGTCCCCGTGGCGTCTCTGGGAGGAGAGCTTCTCTGGCCCCTCTGCCCGGTGCTGCGGTCCTGGCTGGCGCTTCTCATCCTGCCACTTTGCCTAGGGCTGTGCACAAGGACCTCCTGTTGGGTGGCTGGATACTTGAGCAAACATCCCTCTCCCCACTGAGCCCTGTGGCGTTCCGCCCACGGCTTGCAGGCAGGATGTGCTTCAGTCGCTCTGGGACAGGTCAGGACCTGGCGCTGGCCTCACGGGCCGTGGGAACTCGTGCCAAGAACTGCAAAGCAGCCCCTTCTGTTTTCCACAGGATTCTTGGGGCGCACGTCAAGGCAACTCACCCCAGCGAGGCCTGGCTGTGCCGTTCCTGCCTTGGAATTTGTGTAGTTGGAATTTGTGTGTTATTCGTGTGTCTCTGTGAAGTGTTGAGCGACATAACAATAGGAGGCGGCTCCCTAACAATAGGAGGCGGCTCCCTGTTCTCAGGAGTTAATTATAGACGTGAAGAAACAAGTAGCACCTGCGCGAAAGGATACCCGATCTCTCTCAGTTTCTTCCTGTCCTTCGAGACCTGCCGCCCACAAAGTCTTTCCTGGACAAGAGAGCACAGGCTGCCCCGTTACAAACACACAGAGACACATGTGCAACTTCAGCACAGCCTGTCTAAACCCCACAGTTAGCCCTGGGTCGTGCCGGAAGCATCTCGTTTGCAAATCATGTCTGGTGTGCTCCTGCTCGCCTCCTGGCCAGCCTGTGGTTTTAGTTAAGTGTGTTTCGCTCATGGGAGTTGGCTCAAGTCCTTTATGTGTGCACATGAGCGCACGTGTGCGTGACAGGAGCACCTGTGTGGGGGAAGGGCAGTCATTTGCAGGTGCAGGCAGCGTGATTAGAGACAAGACGCCCACAAGAATCCTCCGGGCCTGGCAGAGGCAGTGGCCAGGGCTCTGAGGGCAGCTCATCCTGTTGCCCGTGGCGGGACATGGTCAGCCCTGCCTGGTCAGATGGGCTGGGCCACAGGCTGTCCTGCTGCCCCTCCCCCACAGGGGGCACGGTGGGCGTCAGGATGAGCTGGGGCTGGGGAGGATGCTCCATCCCTCACCACCTGCTTCTCTGGTAGCCACCTTGAGCAGCTGGTGAGTGTTTCGGCAGCTACTGGGTTGATTTGGGCTCATCTTGACCAAGGGTTAACACAGGCACAGCCAGAGGCCAGTTATGATCAAGGGTAAACGTTTTCTCCCGTCATGGGGGAGTTTTCAGCGCACACAGCTGCTTTGGGTGATGGTGGGTGTGTCCTCTGTTTTCAGCACCAAGAAGGATCGGGCGCCACGGGAGGCACAGAGGATGTGGCTGAGGACCGCGGGCCTGGGGGCCGGCTTGGCGTTCTCTGTGTTCCTGCTCTGGAGCAGTCTGGGGGCTGACGACGGTGTCGCTGAGGTCCTGGCCCACCGTGGCGAGGTCTTGGCCGGCAGATTCATTGAGGTGCCCTGCTCTGAGGACTACAACAGTCACCGAAGGTTCGAAGGTACGGCGCCACCGCCTCCGTGGTGATCCAAGAAAGAGCAGCACGTTAACGTGAAATGCAATGTATTTAAAGTGTGTCTGCCTTTGGCTGCGATGAATTGGCAGGAGTCAGGCTGAAAGTGGTGGGTGGCAGGGGGTGCTGACAGATGACGTTTCTTTTCCCTGGGTTGGCTGGCCCACACCCGGCCATGGCTGGTTTTTTAGGAAGCTGCACTGTCCAGTGGTGGAGACGGTTTGCCTGCAGGAAGGTACCAGGATTAGAAAGGTGGGGATGAGAAAGTTGAAACGAGAAAAGGCATGGACCGTGGAGAATGTTGTAGGGTGTCAAAGAATGTTGGAGAAAATGTGACAAGGAACTGCCAGAGGCCCTTCCGCCGTCACATGTTCCAGCTCCCGCGGCTGCTGTCCTGGCTGGGCCGGCTCTACACAGCGCCCGGGTTAGAGGCTGGCAGGGTGGTGTTGGCCCCAGAGGATCCAGGAGATTGGAGCTGCGATGCCAGGCGCGGAGGTTCAGCACCCTGGAGAGCGCACGGCCCCTCTCTGCTGACGGGGCTCGGCCATTACAGACTCTGCCGCCTCCAGGCCTTTTTTGGCTGCTGTATTTTCCTGAACATTCCATGCCATCTGGATACATTCTCAGTTTTAAAAACCCAGCATATGCAACTGGGATTTTGTGACAGAATTTGGTTTATTTTTTAAATTCAATTCAATACTTTGCACTTGAACCAAGAAAAGATCTCCAAGTTCCTCCACAATGGGGCGTCCTTGTGATGCACATGACATGAAGCTCCGGACACGCTCAGGCCGGAGGCAGGAACGGGCTTCACCTGGCAGGGCCGAGTGCGGGAAGGCAGCATTCTGGCAGCATTCTTGTCTCCGTCAGCGGTCAGGAAAGTGAAAGTGTTTCTGCTGTGTGGACGCTCTCTCTGTCTTAGCAGACGTGTTCCCTCTAACATCCCAGCTTTTGAAATATGTTTTTCGATGATTAGCACTGAAATTTTTCTTCCTACCCTTTTAATAACTTATCAACATTAAAATTAGTTGGAATGAGGAAGGAAGGAATGGGAGCTAGTGTTTAATGAGTTCAAGATTCCACCTGGGGAAGATGGAAAAGTTCTGGAGATGGTGGTTGTGGTGGTTGCACAATGTGAAGGTGCTTAATGCCCAGAACCGTACACTTAAAAATGGTTGAAATGGTAAATTTCATGTTATATATATTTTATGATAAAAAATTTCAAACAAACAGAAAGGTAGAGAATGATAATGAACGCCCCTCTTGTACAAATACCTAGCTTCAACAAGTATCAACTAACACAGAACATAACAAAACTCTGGCATCCAAAGACATTATGCTGATTTTACACTCTGAAAAGTTGTTTTTATTAAATACTCAATACTACCTGGTCAACTATTTTTTTCTAGTTGAAAAGCAATTACTATTTGGCAAACATTTCCAAAGACACTATCTAGGTAATAACATCACATATTTAACTGATTATCTTCAGCATTTATAATTACAAGGATTTCAACAAACTTATCCAAGGATTCCAAAAGACATTATTGTTATAGCAGTAATCACTCTAGCTACTACATGCTCCTCACATTTTTGCAACATATGAAAGAGAACAATATTATAGA